AACTGCATGTGATCTGAAATGAAGAAAGGAAAGGGAGCGGAACCTCAAACTCGCTTCCTTGAAGTACATTCTATTACTAAAAGAAATAACTCAGAAATTTAACTTCATGAACAGCTTGACTCACATTGGATATGAGCTCCATAACGTTGTTCTTCAAAAAGACTTTCTCAAGCCGACTCATATTGTTCCACCGGAACCTGCCCAATAAAACACAGAGGCATCATCTTTACAATACACTGATAGCATAGCTAACATGGCTAGGGCAAGAGAGAAGTTTGGTTCTCAAATTGTCTCACACTACTCCACTGGAACCTACCCAATAAAACACACAGTGAAAGCTGAAGTGTGTGGGCCTCTAAGTTTAGAGAAAAAAGATAGGGAGGAGCAGCATGGTAGATGTCTGTAAAACTATGCATAACACGGACAGAAGTGGATCGAGAAAGTATCAATCAATCCATAGACTTTATTTGCGTAGCCGACAGGCCATAGCATCAAAGGACGAACACCGACAAAAATACATTACAAATATAGTTACCATAAAATCTTATGACCTATTAAAACCCTAGGTAGAAGCTGGATTATCATTCATCAATGACCCTCTGTCCCATGGGCGGCAGCCTTTTCTCTGATAGATTGTTCCAGGTCGGTTAAGTAAATAGACCAGCCAAATTGAAAGATTATAAATATAAATATAACCTCGGAGGGATGGTCAGGACAGGGAGAAAGATAATAATAACCAGATGCAGATAAATTAATGATCTCAGTACTTAAAACTTGGCAGAGGTAATAAAATAATAATAATAAACATAATAAAACATAATGATAATAGTAATAAGTAATAAGATCCTAGGCGAGTATTTTCTCTTTCTCCCTTAACACTTGGATCGGAGGCTACCCAATGATTGGAAGCAGATTCAAACTAGGCACAAAAAGGTAATTCTTCACACAGACAATGCACTTATAGAACAAGATGTGGTGATGCCCCCCAATTTAGATGGCTCTACAAGGGAATTAGACAAATTCATGGAGGAAAGGATTTTCAACGGCTAGCAGCCGCAACAGCTAAATAGGACCACCAAGCTAAAAAGCAGTACAGTTGTACCTTGGAAGTCGAACGGAAGTCCGTTCCAGAAGTCCGTTTGACTTCCAAAACGTTTGAAAACCAAATCCTGGCTTCTGATTGGCTGCAGGAAGCTCCTGCAGCCAATCAGAAGCAATGGAAGCCCCGTCAGACTTTCGGATTCCAAAAGAACGTTCACAAACCAGAACAACCAGTTCTGGGTTTGCGGTGTTCGGGAGCCAAAACATCAGAGTTCCAGGGCGTTCAGGATCCAAGGTACGACTGTACTGGAAACCAGTTGCTGGGTGGCAACAGTGGGAAAGGGCTACAAGCTCTGCTTGTGGACTTCTCAACAATCATCTGGCTGGCCAATGTTGGAAACAGAACTCTGGACTAGGTGGCCTTTTCATCTGATCCAGAAAGGCTTCTTTTAAAGTCTCTGTCATCAACACAGTCCCCTCTGGAAACAATCAGTCATGAACATTACCTAGCACAGCTAAGAAAATAGGCAGGAGTCAATACTACACACACACACACACACACACACACACACACACAGAGAGAGAGAGAGAGAGAGAGAGAGAGATAAGGTGGTGTTAGTTTGCTAGAAACAGAGAGGAGGAAGTGGAATCTCTAGACAGCTCAGCAAAGAGAAAAGTGGGATCTCCATACAATGGAGTGATCTCGTTGCTGAACTAACACAAAAAATAATGATTATAAATTCCTTATTCAGCTTGTCACTGGGTTTCCCTTGCTATATATAAACTGTAGAAGTATTAACAACCAGAGATAATTATGGTGACAGGTGCACGCCTGATTTTCTGCTAAAAAGCTCTCAAAAGTTGCAATGCCACACCACTTGCTTTGCATTCACTTCCTTACTTCACCACATGCTCCAGAATCTGAAGACCAAAGTGTCTGACAATAGCAGTCTGTGTTATCTCGGCCAACTTCAGTCCACAGGGAACACATACTGGGCTCTTTTCTTTAAACTCTTCACAGAACTGAAAAAGAGCAAGAATTATTTTTTTAAGCAAACAAGAACGTTCATATTTAATTATTTATTACATTTATATCCTGCCTTTCCTCCAATGAGCTCAGGCATCCCACATGGCTCTTCCCCAACCTTTTATCCTTACCATAACCCTGTGAAGTAGGTTAGGCAGAGATGCATAACTGAAGGTTTGAACCTGGGTCTCCACAGCTCTAGCCTACCCATTATACCACACTGGCTCAAAAAATATCCGCCCTCCAAGATAATGCAGAGAAAGATGTGTGAGAAGGCCAGTATTGGTTTTCAAATAAACTGTTCCTAGAAAGGAAATCCCTTCACACTTGTTTTGAGAATATAAAAGGCTTGCTAAGGCAACAAAGCATATGGTACTGAAATATGCACCAACTGTCAAAAATCTGAAGCGTATAATGGTTTTGAATACAACCTTTAGGGTTTATAACCAGTAAAACTGCTGTTCTTCCTACTCCTTTTTTCACCTTCTATTTTAATATGTGAAACACACACACACAAATCTCAGTGGACTCCTCCTTCCCCCATACTTGGGGGGGGGGTTTCCCATGTAAGAACTGATAAGTTCTGTGCTACATAGACAACTGTGCACACATCAATTGTATCACGCCCACTTCAGCTTTATTTTGCCTGTCTTCTCTCTGGTAATTTCATTTATTGTGTCAATTCACAAAGCTTGTAACCAAAACCATTCTCCCTTCACCAAGTTAGAGCACTTCTCCTCAATTGTCTATATACATTAATTCGTTGCTTTCTGCATCAACCTCAAGTTGCTAGAGATTACACTAAAGGCTCTCTGCTATTCCCTCATATACCGTAAGTCTCTTATCTCTCTAGTTTCTCTCACTGCTGTTTATGCCTCTTTTATTCTGTTTTCCTACTCCTGTCTTAGCTCATCATTCCACAACCATTATGCCACCAACATCTTTCCCCTCCTGGTTTAACACTCTTTGCAGAAATTCTGCTTCTCTGGGGCTATCCCAGAATCACCTCGAATGAAAATGGAAATGCAAACAATGTTATTCTACTTCATCCATGGTTGTGTCATCTCCTTTAATTCTGGGAGGGCTCTTCTGTGCACAAAACAGAGAGAACCTATTCAAGTAGAAATACCAGGGAGGTGCAGTGGTTGGACCTAGTGGGTCCCCACTCTGCCACGAAGCTAACTGGGTGATCTTGGCCCAGTCACTACCTCAGGCTAACCTACCTCACAGGGTTGTTATCAGGACAAAATGGGGAGGAGGTAAACTATGTACACCACCTCAAACTTCTCGGAGCTGCCTTCCCCAGCACTTCTACTACTGGATAGATTTGACATACTCAGGAACCAAACGTTTTGTGTCTTTTGTAGGAAATGTATACTTTTTGTGCATTCTGCAATGGGATATAAATGCAACACAGAAACAAAACAAAAAACTGGTGTGGCTTTACATGACCTGCATCTGTTGATTTTTAATTTGTCAGCGCAGTTGGACTCTTGGGTGGGGGACGGAGTGAGAGAAAGGAGGAGGAAGGTGGCAATCCCAATATAACAATCCCTGCCCGCCCCCAAGCATTCTTTCCCCTTTTATATCTGCCTGCTTCTTGGGAGAAAAGCAATGACAAACCTAGACAGCATTTTAAAAAGCAGAAACATCACCTTGCCAACAAAGGTCCATACAGTTAAAGCTATGGTTTTCCCAGTAATGATGTATGGAAGTGAGAGCTGGACCATAAAGAAGGCTGATCGCCAAAGAATTAATACTTTTGAATTATGGTGCTGGAGGAGACTCTTGAGAGTCCCATGGACTGCAAGAAGATCCAACCTCTCCATTCTTAAGGAAATCAGCCCTGAGTGCTCACTGGAAGGACAGATCCTCAAGCTGAGGCTCCAATACTTTGGCCACCTCATGAGAAGAGAAGACTCCCTGGAAAAGACCCTGATGTTGGGAAAGATTGAGGGCACAAGGAGAAGGGGGCGACAGAGGACGAGATGGTTGGACAGTGTTCTTGGAGCTACCAGCATGAGTTTGACCAAACTGCAGTGGGAGGCAGTGGAAGACAGGAGTGCCTGGCGTGCTCTGGTCCATGGGATCACAAAGAGTTGGACACGACTAAACAACAAAATCTGCCTTGCACTGTCGAGATCGCACCCAGCGGGCACACTCACACATTGCCACACTCCCAGGCCAGCGCGGAGAGTCCGCGGAGGAGGCAAGGGGTTTTTTTTGCTCCCGCTCACCGCTGTAGGAAGCCGGCCATGCAGGATGCTCAGCCCCCTGCAATGGAGACACCCGGCCACGTGGGCCCCAGGGCGGGCGAGGGGGCAGCATGGCCGTGGAGCGACACCACACTCTGGAAGAAGAGAGGCCGAGGCTCCCCACGGCGGGGCAACCCCTTTCGAAAGCGGAGAGGCCTCGGGGGGCAGAAACCGCCGCAGTTTCTGCTTTGCATACGGAAAGCCAACGAGGCACGACCTGCATCCGAAGGAGCAGCGGTGCGAGAGGCGCACGGGGGTCCCGAGCTGGCGCCGGCCATGTGTCTGCCTGCCACCCATCCCGGCTCCCCTCAGGCAGCCCCCCGCCCCAAAACAACCCCGCGCCCGGCCTCAGGGGGCTCTTCGGGAGGCGGAGGCGCGGCGGTACCTTGAGGGCCTCCAGGCGGTACCGCTGCGTGGAGGCCGGGTCCATCATCACCGTCACCGCCTTCACGAGCTGCTCGCAGAGGGTGCTCACCGGGTCCCACGACATGGCGCTGCGGGGCTGGGGTGGGGGCAGGGGGGGAGCGGGGGGAGAGGAAAGCCGCTGTTGCCCGGGCAACCGGGCTTGAGGAGAGTAAGGGGAGCAACGCTGCGCCGGGTGCGACGGCCAAAGTGGCGCAGTGCGCAGGCGCAGGCGACCCCGGCGACCTTTATTCGCACACGCTTCTTAAACGCCGGCAGTGAATGCGATAGTAGCTCTACGGTCGTCATGTAGAGATAGGAAAGTTTAGAGAGGCTTCGTTGTTTGACGTGGAACTTTCGGATTGCTTCAGGATCGCTTTTGTAATCTATTTTTTTTTTTTAAAAAAAACTTTTAGCCCACGCATCTTTCTCATAAAGTAAGACTTGAACTAGAAATAACACCCCTCTCTGCCTCTACTTTTTATTGTAGGGGGGAATACTTTGCCAACCCCGTTCAGCTAACGTAATAGATTTCAGTTAGTTTTCTAGTTTTCTTTTCTTCGTAGGGACGAAAGTACGGTAACTCTTTCCCTAGAAAGTAACTCTTTCAGCTAGAAAACTAGCTGAAAGAGTTACTTTCGTCCCTAGGAAGAAAAGAGAAGTCTAATGAGCCCCGTGAGTTTGCTTTTTGTGTATGTCCGCAGTAAATCTATGCATCAATTGGAACAATAATAAGCGGCATAACCCGATTCTGACGTGTAGTGACAGAATTGTAAAGTAATGCATGCGTGCTTTTTTATTTTATTTTAAATTGGGGTTACTGTCAGCTTCCACTGTCCCTGAACGAGCAGCTGTCACTTTTATTCCTCTCCACCTTCCTCACGACCGGGGGTGGAATCCAGAAAGTCCACTGAGCAGCTCAAGGAATTGTCAGTCTAACATCTACATCTATCATCCCGCTAGTTTGGTGAAGGAGAGTCGCGTCACGGTGTCCCTGAAAGAATGACGTAATCGATGGTCCTTCCACTACGGGGCGGAGGGAAATCCGTTCTCGGTCTAACCCGTGGCCTTCTTTTCCCCTCCGAAGACTACATTTCCCAATATGCATTGCTGTATAAGCAACTGCGTTCGAGGCGCAAAGGTAGTTAAAGGCATGCTGGGAGTTGTAGTCCTTTAGGCGTGAAGGCGGGAGTTTTAGCGGCTGAGGCAGCTGAGCTGTTGTCTGGGCTTGTTCAGCCTCCGCGCATCGCAGCTGCGGCCCTCAAGCCGAACCCGGCTCCGTTCTTCGCCTCCTTGCCGTGGCGGCCCCGCGTGGCCCGCCATGTCTCGCGGGCGGGAGCGGGTGGTGGCTTTGGCGGACATGGACTGCTTCTACATGCAGGTGGAGCAGCGCCTGGAGCCCAGCCTGCGCGGGAAGCCGTGCGCCGTGGTGCAGTACAAGACGTGGAAAGGCGGCGGGTACGGAGCTGCTGCTGCTGCTGCTTGACCCTGCTAGCTTTGCTGCTCTGCTCGTGTCGGCGGAATGAGGTGGGAGGAGGAGGATCTTGACGCGGAGGAGCTGGGGAAAGGGGCCGTGCCGCTCAGTGGTCAGAGCAAAAGGCTTTAATCGCCCGCACCCCCAGGGAGGGCTGACAAATCCAGAAATCCTGCCGAGTTGCTGCTGCCGCCGCCACAATCGTTGATGATCGATCGATGTGGGGTCGATACTGTATAGGGCGGCTTCCTGAGTTGCCTCCCCACCCCAACTGCTTCATAATGCTCCTTCCTGTGACCCATGTTTCTGTTTGTTTTCTCTACCCGCTCTCCCCAAAATGATAGGATGCATTCCTGCACACTCCCAGTCTAAAATGGACTTTGATTTTCACCTCTCAGGGTGGGAAAGCCAAATGCAGCATGGAATCCACTTCCCCAAGTGTCTATACAACTAACAATTACCTATTTCTGGACCCAAATTGATTCTAGCATTCTATAAACTATTTATAGTCTTCCACCTGCCTCTCAATATCTCCTCAAAACCTTTAAAAATGTACCTTCCTCTTAAGATGGCTAAAATATTATAACGTGCAAGGAAAACTCTCCTTTCTTTTAAGCTACAGTAATTTGTAGGTGGGTTTTTTTTTAACATGTTAATTTGTTAAAGACTCATTATCTAATGCTAAACTGAACCAAAAAAGTGCCTGGGTTTGTGTGTTCCTTTCACTGTCTTAAACTCATAACTTAATAGCTCATCATTTCTCCCTCACCCAACTCAGAATCATTGCAGTGAGCTATGAAGCTCGTGCTTTTGGAGTTACCAGAAACATGTTTGCTGCTGATGCAAAGAAACTATGTCCGGATCTCCTGTTAGCGCGAGTACCAGAGGCCCATGGTAAAGCAGATCTCACCAAGTAAGCCCTGGATTGATTATTACTTGCAGCTATTGTTGTCCATGTGATTGTGAAGTACTCTGAAACAAAATAGTGTTCAGGATGGTTACAGATCAGCTATGCTTTTGATGAGTTTTCTGCTTTGGGGCTAAGGTTTGCTTTTGGGGAAGTTTTTGGAATCCCCTTTTGCTGTTTTTTCCAATGTGGATACAGTTTGTTTATTCTGGGTCTTCAGGCAGCAGTCTCTCTAAAAATTATTTTTACCGTTCTTTGCAAATTGAACAGTCCAGGCTTTCTTCGGAGTATAGTGAACTGAGCTCAATACTTTTTCAGCCAGAGCTTATCTGTAATAGATAAGATAGCCCTGTTAGCAGCATGCAGGTGGGGGGACGACAACTGCTACTTTCTGGTATACCACTGTTGATGTCGTATTGCTAATTAGTTACCCTAATTATCAGTTAAGGGACACGGGTGGCGCTGTGGGTTAAACCACAGAGCCTAGGAATTGTCGATCAGAAGTCGGTGGTTCGAATCCCCGCAATGGGGTGAGCTCCCCTTGTTCGGTCCCTGCTCCTGCCAACCTAGCAGTTCGAAAGCACGTCAAAGTGCAAGTAGATAAATAGGCACCGCTCCGGCGGGAAGTTAAATGGCGTTTCCGTGCGCTGCTCTGGTTCACCAGAAGAGGCTTAGTCATGCTGGCCACATGACCCGGAAGCTGTACACCGGCTCCCTCGGCCAATAAAGCGAGATGAGCGCCGCAACCCCAGAGTCGGTCACGACTGGACCTAACTTGAATTATCAGTTAAGATGGAATGGGAATATTAGAGCATTGTTGGGTCTCCTTCCTACATAGGTACCGAGAAGCCAGCGTGGAGGTGATGGAAGTGATGTCACGCTTTGCTGTGATTGAACGTGCCAGCATTGATGAAGCCTACATGGATTTAACTAGCGCTGTGCAGGAAAGGCTTCAGAAGATGAAAGGGCAGGCTATTGAAGCAGAGCTGTTGGCAACTACCTACATCCAAGGATGGCCAGAAAGCCTCACAGCAGAAGAGAATACAGGCAACAAAGGTATTGCATGGCTTCAGACATACTGTTCCACTCTTTTACTTCAACTTCCCTTGCTCTTAATCATGCTTAGATTATAGTTCTATATAGAGGTATTTTCCTTTTCAAACTTGTGTGTCTACAGAAGAGCATGGTGATGGTGTGGAGCAAATCCACAACTCCCAGGTTTAGCGTATATTTTTCGTTTTGTCTTTGCTTCAGTGTTTATGTGAGGGTACTAAAGGTTTGAAGGGATGGTAAGAAATTGGAAGTGTGCCCTTCAGAGGTAATGGATATGGTACCATAGCATTTTCTTCTTGAGCTGCAGCTTATAATACAAGCATATTTTCTCTATTTTGTCGCTTTCTAATATTTAGCGTGCTTTTCTTGTTCAGCTTGTGAGACCAGATTAATTTGACCTCAGCAAAATGTTCCCTAAAAAGAAAGACATGTCTGCTTTCTAACCTGCAAATCAGACAGCAGGAACAAAGGAAGGTGATTAGTTTGCTGCTGAAAGGCCAGTATTGCAGTGGAGAGATCTGGGGAGTAGTTAAGAGTAAAAGCAGTAGGAATTGCCAAGACTGATGTACTTTGAGAGAGCTTATTGCTCAAGTCTGCGTGGCTATTTCCCACGTGGCTATTGTCTTCAGATCAGTTCCAAATTTGGAAATTTATTTTAAGCACTTAAGTTAATTGCACATCTTCAGCTACTTTGCTACTAGTGTTAGAACATCTTTGAAGGCCAAATGGTATGAGACTTCCTTGTTGGGTGAGCTGTATGCTAGGTTGTGTGTTGCATTTTTACTTTGATTAATCTAATCTTTGAGACTTGCCTAAAGGGTGGCACTTCTTCGGCTGCGAACATCTTTACAAAAATGCAAAACCATTTCCCCTCTCCTGCTTGCTTGCCCTGCAGGATCTTCCTTCCTTCCTTCCTTCCTTTTGCTTTCTAAGAGTGGGCTTATTTGACCAAGGATGGCCTTATAAAGGGCTTTCTGGTTTCTTTTGATTTCTTCTTTTCTAGGTGCTTTACAGCACTATGTGCTTTTTTGTAGCTTTCCTGACCTGTCACTCTGCCATGACAATAATTATTCTATCAAGATTGGAGATAGGTTGCATTGTGTTCCCTTTTAGAAGAACTGCGGGAGCGTGGTTTGCGACAGTGGCTCGAGTCATTGCCTTTTGGAGATCCCAGCAGTCCAGAGCTGCAGCTGACAGTGGGAGCTGTCATTATGGAAGAAATGAGGGCAGCTGTGGAATCTGTCACTGGATTTAGGTGTTCCGCTGGCATTTCTCACAACAAGGTGTGTGTAAGACCAGCATGTTTGTGGTTTTGAACTCAGCACTACTAAAGCGGTGTACCTCTTGGCTGCTCTATGTATTCAGTGGAATCTGTTCTGAACAGATTATTATTGTGACCTGGCACAGAAAACAGTAATGGAGGACTCAGGATAGGATTAGACCCAATAATTGTAGTAAATACCATCCGCAATCTGGTTTTGGTAAAATGTATTTTTATGAACAGCTCCAGAATGTGAGATTGGATGATGTGATGGACTGAAGAATTTGGCATCTTAACGTAGAGCAGGATTTAGAGGAAGACATCTCCAGGTTAAGCCTCTTGTAAGCTTCCTAGACATAGATGTGTGGCTAGCTAATTGAGTTATTCAATAGGTTTCAACTGATTAGATCACATTTGTGTGGACCTAGTCAGTTACTTATGGCAATTGCCTCTGAACCTTCTTATACAGAGGGCCTGAAGCTGGAATGAAGTATTCTGATTCGGAAGCTAGGAAAACTGCTTGTTATAGCATGCAGGCACAACATCTTACTGTGTTTCTTGCTCTAAAACTATTGGCACTTTTACAGAAGAGATTAATAGAGAGAGAGATGATGCAAGTTATAATAACAAAAACATGGAGTTAGCCATTCCTGCCCTAGGTGATAATTTTATTGATGCCACAAGGAGGCCAGGATACCTAGCACCTGAGAGTGAGATTTCCTCTTCCACACAGCTATTCTGCAAAATGCTAGAATTTAGTGTATATAGTAGACCTTAGAGGTAGTATTATTTATTTGATCAGTATTATTCTGTATTCATAATATTAGGAATAAACAAATTGTTGTTGGATCTTTCAGCCATAGGCCATAGACAAAAGTCATATACCCAAATAAAAAAAGGGTATCATTGTATGAGGTTTGCTTTGAGGAGACAAGATTAGCCCAGATAATAAGCTCTGAAGCAGTAAAAGTTTTTTGAGTAGAGATTCTCTTCTCCCTGCCACCAAACTTTTGGTTTAAGAAATTCAGCAGGACGTAATTATTCTTTGATTATAAGAACCAAAATCTGACAGTATGAGAGATTTTCTATCCCTCTAGCGCCACAAATGCAATGTCTAGTTTCATTTAATTTGGAATTCCTTTCTAAAAACACTGGGTGTGATTTGGAAAAGAAAACAATCCATGGTAACATTTGAAAACATAAATTGCCAGCTCATTACTTGCAGTATTTGTGTATTCAATTCAGCCTTTTCTCTAAGATGGCAAAATAAACTCTGATAGACCAGGTGTGTGTTGGAAACCCAACTTGGAAAGCCAAGCTTCCTAAATTGGATACTTTGTTTATTCTAGGTATTAGCAAAGCTGGCCTGTGGTCTCAACAAGCCTAATCGTCAGACTCTGGTGTCACAGGGTTCCGTCCCTCAGCTCTTTAGCAAGATGCCAATCAGCAACATGTATGTAAAACTGATGATCTGCTTCTAGAAGCCCCATGTGAGATTGCACTCATGAATCTCGGAACTAGCATTTTTCTTCTGCACATTATTGTTTAGGGGTATTCTGGGTATATTGTAAGCATCAGACCAATGGCACTCAAGAGATAATAAGAAGAATGGATGCTAGAGGGGAAAAATCCTTGTGCAAGCACCAGAATTTGGGGAGCCATAATTATTTTTCAGCCATCCTTCCTTTGTGCAAAAATTGATAAACTATCAATATTTTTATATGCCAGTTTATTATTAGGGAGTGGACTGGGATTTTTCAGGCCTGGTTGCAAATGTAAATGATTCTAATAAATATCTGGTGCTGTTTTATTACATTATCTTCCCAGTTGATTTCTTCTCCTGCACATACTAGTGTAGGTAAGGAAGAGGCTACTTGTTAATTTCTTGCTCCTTTGGGATGTTTTCCGTGCTTGTCTCAAAAAGCCAAGTTTTGCATTGCTTTTTCTCCTTGTCCTGCTTATCTATCTGCCTTCTGCTAGCTGGTACACAAGAACCTGTGTCTGAAGACTTCTGCCTTTTTACACATGACAGCTTTCCTTTTCTCCCATAGCCGCAACCTTGGAGGGAAGCTTGGGGCCTCTATCACTGAACTTCTGGGAGTGGAGTATGTAGGAGAGCTGATCCAGTTCAGCGAATCACAGCTTCAGACCCACTTTGGAGAGAAGACTGGGTAAGTTGCTCACTAAAGTTCTGGCCTCTGCTACAGATTCAGATTCCATTCATGTTTGCTTATGCTGCTGAGGATTCTGCTCACGACAGGGTCTGTCTTGAGTTTCCAAAGTCTCATTTCTACTGAGAACTTGACACAAACACATTAAGAGGCAGTGCATTTGCTTAAAACCAGATGAAACATCTACAAGATTCAGGGAAGATTGCAGCACATGCATTTTTAAAAAAGCTCACTTCAGTCATTGCATCGAAGTAACACTTAATATGACAAAATAACAAAAGGGAAGCAAATATTATGCATATACTGTGCAAATTCTATAGCGGTAGCTGCGTTAAGCTGCAGCAAAAAGACTATTGGGTCGCTTTAAAGACTGACAGATTTATTATGGCACAAGCTTTCAAAGGATAGTCTGTTTCATCAGATGCATATGGAGTGTCATCCTCAAGTGACAGATATGTAATAGAGACTGCTGTTTTCACTGTCCAAATATTCTATTCATGGTCACCCATAGCAGGAAGCTGCAATTTATTTAACATATTCGCTTCTACAGCAGATGAGGTCATGTAATTACATATTTATCCAAGTGGGACAGCAGAGTTTATCTGACTCTGTTAACCCAATAAGGCTATTATGAAATCAAAACAATATACCCTCTGTGGGGGTTTTATACAGAGGGCTGTAGTATAAACACCAACAACTGGGAAACACTGGCCTGCAAGCGTTCCAAATGGAGAACAGCCTTTCCCAAAGGTGTCATTGGTTTTGAAGACGCTTGAACTCAGGACGAAAGGGAGAAACACACTCAGAGGAAGGCATGCTTGGCAAACCCTCACCATGATCAATTCCCACCTGGAAACCTATGTCCCCACTGTGGAAGAATGTGTGGATCCAGAATTGGCCTCTACATTCACTTACAGACTCACTGCTAAAACCATGTTTATGAAAGACAGTCGTCCTTGGCTACAAGTAATCACCAAAGGAAGAAGAAGATACAGACGGTAGCAGTGGATTATGTCATCAACTGTCTTTTGGACACAAAATTGATGCTGATCTACCAGGATCATATTTCCATGTTCTTCCCATAATATCCAGTTTGGTCCTTGCTATTGATTCACTGCACCCCAGCAAAATATGTCATAACGGATTAGGGTGCATCACTAATAGCCACTCCATGCAGTTTGTATACCAATATCTATTCAGATGTGCTGTTAAGTGGCAGAGACACTTATGATAGGGAGCTCTCCATTTGCCTTGCCTGTATTCTCTTTAGAATCTAACTCTTGGACTTGATCCTCATCTCCATTGATTTGTGTGCAGGTGCCAGATACATTGGATGTCTCTAAGTAAATAAGTAACATTTCCAACCTTGGAACCACTTCTTTATTTAACTCGGGTTTCCATATATGCTTTGCAGCTCCTGGCTGTATGATTTGTGCAGAGGGATGGAGCATGAGCCTGTGAAACCTAGACAATTGCCCAAATCCATTGGCTGTAGTAAGAATTTCCGCGGAAAAACAGCTTTGGTTACTCAGAAGCAGGTAAGAGAGTGTCCAGAGAGCCGAACCAAGTTTGTCCTGAGAGCAGGAATAAAAGATAAGGCAGCACACATTGCTGCACCCTTTCTGAAACCTAATTTGGTCATCATCTTTCAGCATCACTTTGCTCTGAAATGGTCAATAAATTGTTGAAGAATTCTATCAATGGGGAGGGGAGTGCCAAATGTCTCCTGTGACCTGCTGATGAGCTAATATATTATTCCTTGGACCATGATCTCTCTCTGCAGTGCTAGCAAATGAGATCCTTGTTCCATTTTAGCATCTAATGCAGAGTCCTGTCCTTTGAGCATTTTGTAACCACATCTTTCCCTGCAATTGAATTGCTCCATGGCAACATTTCCGATCATTTCAAGGTTATTTTATTTATTAAATTTCTATACTGCTCTTCATCCCAAGACCACAGGGTGCTTTACAATATAGAAACACAAACATAACCAGAAATGAAAACAGTACTCTTCCCCCTACAGTATTGTTTGTTTAGAGATCCAAAAGCTTTTGTTGTTGTTCTTGGCCTTCCATCTGATAAAAATGTCCTGTGGATGTTCCCTGCATATTTTGGTTTTCTATTTGTAGTAAACTGAGCAGTGTCCCAAGACAATAATGAAAAACACAGTAATTATGTATGTAGGTACAGCATTGGCTTCTGCAGCTGGCCTTGGAGCTGGAGGAGAGACTCAACAAGGACAGAGACCAAGTAAGTAGAGAAAGAAAGAGTCCTATTATCTCATTGAGTACTTGATGCCTGAAGGAGATCTCTGTGAATTGGGTTGAGAAGAGCAAGTGTGCCTGCCTCTGGTAACCATACATATCATTTGTCTGGATGTAGCTTGCTAGAGGTCTGTAGTAATTAAGTATCTTCAGCAAATCAGGGGTATGTCCCCTCAATCTGTTCTGGGTGTCCCCCGTCCCCCCCGCCAGTCCTCTGTAGTAATTTGGGAGCAGGGATGGAGTCACAGAGAGGAGGACCAAGTCCCATTGCAGAAGTGGATGTTATTCCACTCATGCCATTACAGTGGTGCCTCGCAAGACGAAAAGAATCCGTTCCGCGATTCTCTTTGTCTAGCGGTTTTTTCGTCTTGCGAAGCAACCCCATTAGCGGCTTAGTGGATTAGCGCTATTAGCGGTTTAGCGGATTAGCGGCTATTAAAGGCTTAGCGGCTGAGCTGCTAAAAGGCTATTAGCAGCTTAGCGGCTTAGAAAAAGGGGGACAAAAGCGGGGAAAAAATGGCAAGACTCGCAAGACATTTTCGTCTTGCGAAGCAAGCCCACAGGGAAATTCGTGTTGCGAAGCAACTCAAAAACGGAAAACCCTTTCGTCTAGCGGGTTTTCCGTCTTGCGAGGCATTCGTCTTGCGGGGCACCACTGTATTTAGTTAGCATATGAAGCCTATGGGTGGTATATCCATCTTTCCACTAAGCACTGACTGGACCTTGACCAGCTCATTTTATTAAGCTGACTAAAGCATGTGCCCTTAGATCACTTCCTGAAAATAACAAATACATCCCTTTTTAGCATTGGACTTTCCTTGCAGATGGTGTCACAGTTGAGGTGAGCTGCTCATGAGTACTGAACTCTTGTTAAAGACTAGAGTTCCTTATAGTCTTCCTACATTTTTAGCTTCAATGGAGAATCATGGAGAAAGACAGTAGGGTTAAGCTCCCTGCTGGAACACATCTGGATTAATCCAGCCCAGGCATAGGCAAACTCCGGCCCTCCAGATGTTTGGGACTACAATTCCCATCACTCCTAGCTAACAGGACCAGTGGTCGGGGTGGTGGGAATTATAGTCCCAAACATCTGGAGGGCGTGAGGTTGCCTATGCCTGATCCAGCCTGATACCCACTACCCCCTTTTTAAGAATGTCCTCCTAGAATCCAAGTTATTGATATCTCAAGCATTTCTTGTCAGGATTCTTACATATATCTTTCTTCCAACAGAACAACCGGGTAGCTAAACAGCTGACTATTGGGATCCATATGCAGGGCTATAAACATGCCAACGGCTTATCCCGCTGCTGTGCCTTAGCAAATTATGACGCTCATAAAATCAGCAGAGATGCTTTTGTGCTAATCCAGAACTGCAATACGGCAGGCGGCCAGCAGGCTGCATGGTGAGAACTTTTTTCCCTTGGACACAAGAGTGTTACTACAGAGGAGGAAATGTTAGCTTTATCCCTTCTTCCAATGTACATATTGCAGAGTCTGTGCTAGAACAGAAAATGAACTACTAGTGGGCTGGACAGCCACGCTGTGAAGACAAATATTTATGATATGAGACATTTATTCCGATTAGAGCTAAGATGAGGGTTGCTCATCACATATCCTTGGGCCAGCTTCTTCCAGGCTTAGCAAATTGCTGAAAAATATTTGTGCAACCTTATTTTTTGAGTTTACTCCCTTTGAATTGTTTGCTAATGTGCCCTCGCCTACAGGTCTCCTCCCATTACACTTCTTCAGCTTTCTGCGAGCAAGTTTTCAGAAGCTCGTGCTTCCTCCGTGAACATTACTTCCTTCCTGACGACTGACAGCCAAGGTACCCAAGCCACTTGCACCAGTGCATCCAGCCCAAATGGCAAGTCCATTGAAAGCCCCAAAAAGGAGACCCTCAAGAAGACAACCAATCCTATTCAGATGCTTTTTCAGAGGGCAGTGGAAAAGAAACAGGCCCAGGCTATGGCCAGGAACTCTCTTCCTGGTGTCAGCAATGAAATGAACTTACCATCAGTACCAGAGTCCAGTATCTGTCAGGATAAACGACTCACCCCCATTAACAGCCAGATTCCAAAAGTTCCTGCGGAACAAAGTATCACCAGGAGCAACCCAGACTGCATGCAGAAACAGCTCTCGGTGGAGCAGTCTGTGGCCAGCTCCGAAGCAGGGCTCCTGGAGACCCCTTTAGAAACAGAAGTGCCTGAGGTCTTTTCAGAGCTCCCTGATCTGTGCAAGGAAAAGGAAGTGCATCCTGCTGCTGGAATTTCCCAGGTAGGGGCTGATAGTTGGGCTCTTCAGCCCTGTACTGGTGACACGATGCTGTGCGAGAAATGTAATCAACAGGTGTTGGTATGGGAGTTCACAGAACACTCGGACTACCACTTTGCTGTGGAGCTGCAGAATTCTTTCTCAGGAACTGACGCCTTCAGGCCATCTTTGCCTCCCACCAGCCCTCCAAGTAAGGGCAAAAGTAAACAGAAGACACCCACAGCCTCTAGGGCCAAAAGGCCAAGGCAAAGCACAGATAGGACTTTGGATTTCTTTTTTAAGCGGTCACCTCCTTAGGATGAAGCTCATCTGAGCAGCTTATCTTGGAAAAAGAAGGTGCAACTTTATTTGCCTTTATCTTATATTCATAAGTAAATAAATAAACGGGATAATAAATTGTTCCAAACAGGTGCTTGGAAAGCTACAGGACTCCCTGGTGTTGTTACGAGAACCTGCACTTGGTAGTCAAGGTTGTTATGCCTTCTGTAGCATGTTCTTGGCTCTGTAGCTTCAGATGGTGACAGATGTCGCATCAAGGTGCCAATTTACTGCCAATTTATGGTAGTCATTGGGGCCGTCTCTAGTCCTCCACAGGACCATCTTTACATTGTATGTCATTCATTTGTTTTAGTATTTTAAACTTGTAAACTGCCTTGGCAGAAGGGAGGTATTAAATGCAATACAGTCATACCTTGGGTTACAGACGCTTCAGGTTGCGTTTTTTCAGGGTACGGATCGCCAAAACCCAGAAGTACTGGAACGGGTTACTTCCGGGTTTCGGCGGATGCACAGCAGCCCCACGCATGCGCAGACATGCTGCTGCGGGTTGCGAATGTGCATCCTGCACGGATCACGTTCGCAACCCGAGCGTCCACTGTACATGCGCTTGAAGATCTAGAGAGGTGCTGCTCATGGGCTTTCCTAGACCTGCTCTAGGCAACTAAATGTCAAGGGATGAACTTGGGCCCTTCTGCATCCTGCTCATGTGTTCTCTCATTGAGCTGCTTAGATCACAGAGTTGTAGGTTGTGACTGGCTTTTACTATGGTGGGGATTGCCCTTCCATAGGCACTTTGAGGAAGACAGTCATTAGAGTTGAATGGATACTGGAATATGCGTTGCGCAAGTCCACGTGTGCCCATTTGACCACTTTGATCAGCAGAATTGATGCTATCTAGGTGCCATGTGATAACTGTTCTGCATTTTTAAGAATTCGATTGTTTAGTGTGGCAGCACCTGCACTTTGGAACCCCCGCCTACTGAGATTAAGAAAGCGTCTTCATGGTACTCTTTTCATCATCTGCAAAAAACATTCTTCTTTAGACAAGCCTAACCAGATGCTTAGAAAGCTGAAGTGATTTTAATCTGTCTTTAATATTTTAACTTGTGTATTTTAAAGTATGCTTGTGAATTTTTCCACTTGGAGGTTTTTTTTTTTACAATCGAATGGTGTATAAATTTTATGAAATAAATAAAAGTGTAGAAACCAGTGTATACATATGGAGAGTTGAGGCAAATCTATAACATCTGTACTGTAATTTGATAACTTGATTAAATATCTACTTGATGAGTATAGGTTTTATCTATATAAAAAAGCAGGACCTTATTTAAATAAAGTTGTCCAGTATGATTTAGCGTGTTTTACACCTTTAACTTTCCTACCTGGATAGTAACAAACATATACAATTATTGCCCCATGGTGCAGTTAGGGTATTGGACTAGGAGATGGTAGAACAGGGATCAAATCACCGCTGTCATGAAACTTCTTGTGTGACCTTGAGCCAGTCAGCCTCTCACCCTAATTTGACTCGGGGGTTTTGTGAGGATAAAATGAGGGGGGAAGGGAGAACCATGTATGGCACTTTGAACTTCTTAGAGGACAGGTAGGATATAAATAAAAGTGTCCAATTGCATCTTTCTAACTCCTTGGGTGTGAACTATAGTTAAGTATATTCCATATGAAACCCATGATGTATGAAGTCTTCAGCTGTACTTCTGGAACCATGGAAATGTGGTTACTGCTAGTGCAAAAGCTATCTGTTTAATCCTAACAGTCTGTAGCACTCGTTGGTATCAGGGACAGGATTTCAAACTAGTTATAGGGCTTTAGAGAGTGCATTATTGGGCGCAGGTTACAGACACAAGATATCTATCTGGTCTTGTTTTGTTTTACTTCCTGCTAAAACCTTGGTCTGCTTTTTTCCCTTTTCTGTGGAAGTTGCTGGAAAGGAATTTTCCTCATAGGCAAAAATACTATCCAGTAAAGCAGAATAAGGGGAAATTTTATGTGTTGAAAGAAATTTTGGCAGGTTTGGGGCTTCTGTATAGAAATTGCAGCCTGTTTTGTTGTTATTGTCCACAATAGGATGGGAAACAATGCTAGCAACAGCACCCGATTTTAGGCAGTATTACTAACATAACAGGCTAAGCAAGAGCTTCATCCCACAGATGGTGGAGTCAGTGCTATTAGGATAAAGGAACTAGTCATATAATTGGCAAAACGTGTGGCACTTTGCTATTTCAAATGCAAGTGGCAGAAGTTCTTGCGTTATCTATATCCAGAGACCTATTGGCATAGTGTGGGAGTAGAGAAACCTTCAAAAATTCATTATCTCTGCAAGCAAGCAGCAGCATACAATCCTCCCCTTTATACTCAAAACTGCTGTGGTCAGGCTGATAGTTCTCTGCACGCACTGCGGAATGTCAGATAAGCATGTGCTACCAACTTGTAAACACTCATCTGCATGGAAAACTAACAGAAAAGCCTCCACATATTGCCTGGCATCTCAATGCTGGCACAAGTTGCTGTTCAGCCGTACAGCACAATTTTATTCTTTTCAATAAAACATCTTTATTTTGTACATTATATATCTATATATAGAGAGAGATGAAAACACCTCTCTGATTTTTAAAGAATCCACAAACAGTGAATATGAAAAGCATGGCACCGAGAACACTCACACAACAGAAGGCAAGGAAAAGACAACCAGAAAGAGCACCTTTGAATGTTTGTCTGCAATGGGGTTAACTCTGCCAGAACTGTAAATTGCAGGAAAAGCACCTATTCCTCCCACAGGACAAGTATGTAGTGGCAATGGGTTACAGCAAACCCTCTAGAGGAGTGTATTAGGCGGCCAATTTTCTTCGTCTTTTCTAAAACAAGCGATCCAAAAATGCCTCTTGTAGAACCAATCCAAGTGATTAAAGGGCAATTGAGAGAGAAGCCAATTTAATCAGCAAATAACCATGATGCTTTGGGCCATGTTTGCTACTACTTTATAGTTAACTGTCCATTGTGCTATTAAAAGGATGATTAGAAGAAAGATAAATGATTGTGGGTTATACTTAAAAAGCATCAACTTGGAAGCTGGCTGTATGGTTGCGCAGCTACAAGTTAAATCTCAAAGAGTACTTGCATTAAATAAACAGCTGTTGGATTGAGGCGAACTAACAGAAGGGTGTGCGTTTTATAGTGAATAAAAATGGATCGTTGTTTTCACTGGCAATGTTGGCTGTAGCAGCTGAACACTCAGTGCTGCAGTGGCTAAGATGGGGATAGGCAAAAACAAGAAATGTATTGCTGACTTTTAAAATATAATTTCCTACCAATATGTTAAAAATAGCCCACAATGTTTGACTGTCTCGCTCTATTGCAGACTCCAGGCATTCACTATAGCTTTAAGTGAACTGATTGAAATCTTAGGTATATCGTATGGTTTTCTGTGGTGCATACCAGCAATATAGACACACTGCTGCAGTAGGCAGCATTGATAATTGTAGTAAAAGTAATTGTAGCAACATTTCAAATCTTCCTGGGATAACCAAGCAGCGCTTACTGCTTTGGCTTTGAGAAAGTAAGGCATGTCTCCCAAGGAACGAGTTGGATTGGGGTGCTATTGAACTCCTAACGAAAGCCAGACGGTACCGATCTTTCAGTCAAGATGGTGAACGACAACGGCTCAGAAAACCAGCAAAGTACTGAGAAGTGTCAAAGCTAAAGGGGGAGGGGCAGTTATGCTCTAGGAAGCCACATTATATATAGGGTAGCTGCTCAACTCTGCCCAGGAATAAGTTGTCTTAAGATGTTTGTGATTGTACCTGCTGCATGAGATGGGGACAGTGGTTTCTATCAGGTCAGGGTTATTTCAGGGAAATGTCCCTCTTCTCCCACACCCCCAACCCCACATTTTCTCTAGAAGCAAAAACAAAAAACCCACAATTAAATTAGCTGTTAAAAATCAGCACACAACGGTAGTAGGGAGGGGGAGACCCAACAAGCCATTAGATTAAAATGAAACCAACAAACAGTTTAAAATGAATCAGAAATATCCTGAGCTGTACTGTGGGCAATGCAAACTTTTCAGCTGAAGCTTCTTCATTTGTCACAGGCAGCCTGTAAAAATCAGGCAGCAGGACAATGGAGACTGAGTGCTGTGGGCAATGGATGTCCACTATTGCTGCCTCAGGAAGCAGAATCCCCAAGCTGCAGTCCAACACACTAATGGCTTTGCCCTCTACCCGGCAGTAACTTCCCAACAAAAGTCAACAGAACCAGGAGTTGCCGGTCCAGGCAAAGATGCAGCCGCTCTCATCTATTCCGGGGAAGGGACATGAAAGCAGCAGGTGATGAACAAACAACATGCTTAACTCGCTCCAGGAGGGGCACTCAATCCAAGCGGCAGTTCTAGCTTCCGCAGGAGCAGAAGGGGTTTGTCCATGTAAATTGACTGGCCAGCAGCAGCTCTGGACAGTGGGGAGAGACTTTCCTCCCTTCCCCTATTGCTAACATCAGGAAACCCCACTGATTTTGTGAGTCAGAAAGTGACCAGGTCAGAACTTAAGCCCTGATCCAGTCCATTCTCTTCGATGGTGATGGCTTGGATATAAGTGACATGTCCAATACCTTTGGTAACTCCTTCACGGAACAGCAATTTGGCTCCTATCTTCAAATATTCAGGATGTTTAATGAATCTGAAACATACCACAGCCTTTTCTCCTGTACGCAGCTTATCCTGAAAGAGGAAAATAATATGAGTTACAAGGTCAGTCGCCTAGCTACTCGGCTCAGGGATTCTAGGAAATGAGGGGGATGTTTAAGGCCACTGAGCAATTCAGTCCCAATATGCTTTGCGTGTTTATGAAACTCCTAGTGGATTTAACTATGCAGGTTCTCTTCTGAAATGGTGAAGGCATTGCAGAAGGGAGTCCTAATGTCATGGTTACAATAACTGATGCAGGATGAAGACGTGAAAGCAATGGAATGATTCCTTGAATAGACTAGAAAAGCACCCCTATTCTTAAAGACCTACCTTCCCGTGGATCTTCTCCACAATTGCTGTTTGTCGTACATTGCCAACATGCACCGTTACTTGAAATCCCTTCCGGAAAGTTGTGGCATGGAAGAGCAGAACAATTTCAGCTTCAAACACTGAGCAAATGGTGGGATTCATCTCTGGGCTGACCATCACCATACCCTAAGTGACAGCAAGACAGCTGAACCAATACTCTTGACAGTGGTGCTCCTCTTTTCCCCAATACATGCACACTAGGTGGACTGCTACTGTCCTTCATGAAGTGTCTAGTTTTCCATTTGCAGGAAGCTGGCCTCTCCACAGAAAGCCAAAAAATAGAAGGGTAAGATAAGTGTGTACATGATGAAGACAGACTAACAATGGGTGAGGATGTGTGG